GGCTTCGGATCATATCAAGAGTAAGTCTCCTCTGCTTTCTAACCATGGACCTCTTCAATCGCGAGACTGAAAAGGAGACAATGAAATTCACAAGGCAGCCAGATCCGAAGCAATTGACGGCGCTCTGCCGATTGCTCAAAACACGCCCCAGCGGCCGCCGTTTGGGTTATACACCGAAAAGATCTCTGGCAGCGCCTTTCAGGCTGGAAGGGGAGAGAACCAGCAGACATGGCTGTATCGGATTCTGCCTGCTGCGGTGCATCAGCCTTTTGAACCATTGGCGTCTGACGAGGACGGCGACCCCGAAGCCACTGACACGAACTGCAACGCTTACGACAACCTGATCCGCATTCCCACCCAGGTGCGATGGGATCCGTTCGACATTGACGAGAAAGCAGACTGGATCCACTCGATGCACCTGATATGTGGCGCCGGCGACGTAGCATGCAAGACGGGCGTGGGATACTTCATCTTCACGGCGGGCCAGTCCATGGACCCCAAGACCGCTTTTTTCTCGACCGACGGTGAGCTCTTGATAATCTTGCAGACCGGGGTGCTTGATATCAGGACCGAGCTGGGCCACCTGCTCGTCCGACCGCTGGAGATCTGTGTCATCCCGCGAGGCATCCGATACAATGTGTCTCTCCCAGAGGGTCCAGTCAGGGGTTATGCCCTCGAGCTACACCAAGGCGTGTTTACGCTGCCGAATCTGGGGCCCCTCGGGTCCTTTGGGCTGGCCAACACGCGAGACTTCCAGATTCCTGTCGCGTCGTTCGACAACGACACAGCCGGCGGCGACTACACGGTCATCTCGAAATTCGGCGGGCGCCTGTTCGCCGCGAAGCAGGACCACTCGCCCTTTGACGTGGTCGCCTGGCACGGCCTGTACTACCCGTACAAGTACGACCTGGGCCGGTTCATGACGGTGGGGAGCATCTCGTACGACCACCCGGACCCGTCCATCTTCACGCTCCTGGCCTCGTCCGAGGGCGTGGCCGAGATGGCCATCTTCCCGCCGCGCTGGCTCGTCATGGAGAACACGTTCCGCCCGCCCTGGTACCACCGCAACACCATGTCCGAGTTCATGGGCCTGATCCAGGGCGAGTACGACGCCCGGACCGACGGCGGGTTCCGCCCCGGCGGCGCGAGCCTGCACAATGTCATGGTCGGGCACGGGCCCGACAGCGCGACTCACGCGCGGGCGTCGGAGATGGAACTCGTGCCCCAAAAGGTCGGCGAGGGGAGCATGGCGTTTGTGCTCGAGTCGAACGTGTTGCTCGGGATCAGCGATTGGGCTTGGACAAAGTCGAGCAAGAGACAGCTGAACTATAATGCTCAGACGTGGATGGGCCTGAAAAGCAACTTCAAGGTCCCGCCTGCCTCGAAGGTGAAGTCGCCCTTACTCGTCGCCGCAGGAGACTCGGAGAAGAATGGAGAAGCAGGGCTAAGGGTCAATGGCCATTAAGATGTGGTCGAGTTGGGCAATATAGGTGGTAGGTATTGTACAACTGGGATATTGTGTCAAAAGCAGTCGGACGATCTTTAATGATGGAAAGCTGACGCATAATCATGAGATTGGAAGAGTTGGATGATACTTTGAATCCTCAAGGCATTCAGGTCGAAATAATCGTTATTTCACAATCATTCCCGCTAGGATGTATGTATGAGCCCATCTTTCAAGCATCAATAGTCGAAATTGGTCATTAGTTTCCTCCCCTATCATAACGTTATAGGTTGTCGGTCGTAATCCTCTTGTCCTCAGTCCTCAAGAACAAAACCTAGCTCATGGTTCATGTACTTGGGACAATATCCCAGTCCCTTATGTCCAGCACAATCATGTGTCCTGGAGCGTGTCCAATGACGGGACCATCCAGAGCAGCTTGCCGTACCGCCTCTTGTGGCGTGACACCGCAGCCCCAGAAGACAGGAACAAATTCTTCCGCTTCGTCGCCAATACCCTGAACGAGTGCTGAGCCATCAGGCAGGATAGGGCTGTCTCCAAAGTCCGGCTTGCTGATGTCCTTGATCCCCAGGCGGGTCGCGGCATCCCAACCCCAAGCAATTGGCTCGCCGTGCGTTGCGACGTAGCTGCGCGTGATGTCTCTGACTTTCTCGATGTCTCTTCGGCGGAACGGTCTCATCGACACCACATATGTGGACTGGCTGAAGACTCCGGCCGGGCATAGAGGAAGCGTGGTCCGGTACATGGGAACGTTCCTCCCATGTGCCATGTGGGACGGAATCAACCCTTCGGCGGCGAGTGCGGCCTCGAAACTGAATGAACAGCCGATCAAGAAGCCGACGTGGTCTTCGCTCCAAATCGAGCCGACGTCGCGACAGTGAGACTGTGCCAGCTTGCCGTCCTCGTAGACCATGTACTTTGGAAAGTCGTGGCGAAGGTCGACATCTCCTGCAATCTCTTTGCCGGTTACTCCAGGTACCCAGGATTTCAGCTCATCCCATCTTCCCACTTCCTTGGACTCGGCCAGCAGGGGACATGGGACAGGGTTCCTCTTGCATAACAACCGGAAATCCGCCGCAAACCGCGACGGTAGTGCGATCAGGTTTGCCTGGACGTAAGTGGGCGCGGCGCCGGATGTCTGCCTGTCATACGCACCGGTTCTCGCAGCGAGACGAATGCTTTCTCCTGTCTCTCTGGTACTCGACTCGGCCTTGGTTGGTTTGTGTAGATTTGGCTGCTCGACGGCCTGGTCAAGCGCAATGGGAGCCATCGTAAATAAGGTTGAAGGGATGACAACGGGTACGTCCGCTGCCCTCGTAATCGAGATACGTGGTATATCAGCGATATTCTGCGAATGGCATTCAACGACTCTCTGTCCTGCTGTTCTTCTATACGGAGTACTTGTGTTGCAAACACTCGAGAAATGAAATCACAAACCACTCCTCGACTCCTATCGAATAAAAGTCGCTCTTCTCCGGTACGAGCAGGGCATACGTCAAAGCCAGAGTGATCGGCAACATGGCACATGGTAAGCACTGTTCTTTCTCCACGTTGGAGACCGAGACCCCGACGGATTCGACAAGTATCTTTCCTTGAGCATGTCTGCTGCATGGGGCTGCCTTCCCCTGGTTCGACATGGTAAGGTTTACCAGAGAGCAGGAACCGCTTTCTAATTTGCATCGGCCGCCGCTCAGTTGAGAGCGCATTTGAACCTGTGAGAGGAGACCCCTACCTGCTTGTTTGCCATTCGGCGGATTCAGCTTGTCTCCACGTTCTTTAAGAGTTACCTCAGACTGTTAGTGGTGGCTTAGGAATGACCCGAGCAGGGTTCCTTGATCTCGGATTGCGGCTAGATCCGGGATCCAGGCGAGGTTTCCGAGTGAAATGTAGAGGCGTGGCGCTCAGAGCATTGGTGTGCTGCTCTCCTATCTACACACTCGCGGCTGGGTTGTGCTGGTGGACAGTAGAATACAAGGCTCAATGGGTGATCTTCTTGAGGCGAAGGAGGAGAGGGAGCACAGGAGGCGATAATCATGGGCGTTGCAGGCCAAGGAGACACATGAATATACGTGCTACGATTTCCCTCGGAAATGCGCAAGAAGGAAAGGGAGAGATAGTCCCTGCAATTGCTAGAGCAAGCTCTTGTTCGAAACTTCCTGAGTAGTATGTCTGTATTTCCGTAGATTTGTGTTCGATTCAGAGTCGCTGGTCACAGCAGATCTCCTATCCGTCTTGTATGGACTCATGAACGCCCTCTTCTATCGACATCCCTTTCTCTGACGACCACGAGAGTTGTGCCCTAATAGGAAGATTTCGCCACGAGCGGGCCTCCGAGGAAGATTGGCTGTTTGTTGCAGAAGTTGGGGATATCTCCCAAGACCGGCTTTGCGTCTTCCGAGGTCATGGCCGCACCCATCTGCTCGGGGCTATCCCAAACCAAAGTCCCTCCCACAACAAACTTGGGAGGCGTGCCGTCTGGACCGGGCTTGTATTCGAGCACCTCCCATTTTACGAGACCGTGTTTCTTGAAGGCATTCTCAACTAGCGGCATGTGCGTCTTGAGGTAGTAATCCAGGTCGAACTTGGTGTCGGGGTCATTTGGGTAGAGGACTGTCGCGTGGAAAGGCATTGTGAGGGTGTGGTGGATGGTTCTCCGGGGTAAGGTAAGAAGATGTTTGGTCGCTGAGTCTGAGATCTGATCTTCGCGGGCGTTGTACTTGAAAGGGGTCTTGGTGCTTCAAGGAGAGCGAGGGCACCCAGCTGAAGTTTATATCAATGTCTCGCCATGTGCGGGGGATGTGCTAGCACGGACGAGGGGCTGGCTGAGACGCGACATCGACCAGTCGACTCGATCGTCCGTCCGGACGACGCAATGCTCCGACACCGAGGTAAAATGTGATGCCCTGGCTCGCTTCGACGGAGCAGAATCACCAGAAACCCAAACAGTTGCCCCTCTCGGGTCGTTGTCGGGGCATCTCCTCAACTGTGGGCCAGCAGAACACAGTCTTTTGTGCACTAGTCCATGCCTAACCAACAGCTCTGGACAAGCTGCTCATGTAAAGGCGCCAAGGTGCCCCGAATGAAGGATGAATTTGTGCATAAGAACTTCCGTGCTTCATTGTCGTCGGCAAACTCTTTCCATCCTGGGTGTTTTGTGCTCAATTCAGTAAGCGTTTCGACCTCGCCATCCTTCAGCTGAAAACCAAATGAGTGCGCGTGAGGCGCCAATTCCAGCAGCTAATGTGACGAAGGACTCGCTATGCATTGGTTGTCGGAGTTGAGCCAGACCAAAGGAGAAGCACAAGAGAGTCGAGAGGGAGGAATCAAGTGCGATGGTGGGAGTCCGACGCAGTCAGCCAGCAGAGGATGCACATTTGAGGAGATAGTGCATGCTGTAATTACTCGGTAGCCCTTATCGATAAGGCTTTCTCCACCCAAGATTTTCTTCTCACATTGCGCCTCCACGTGCGCCTCCTCGTCTCGTCAGTGTGATTGCAACGCCAAATCTACTAAAGTCTCTGATTATTTTTCGTATGCAATGGTAGGGCGAGAAATGTTCTCCTGGAAATCCAAAGCTAACTGGATTACTCTTAGGCTCCTGTTCGTCGACCCGTATCCGGGAGCGTGCGACCTCCGAAGTCCATCTTGAAAAAGACGTCCAAGGCTAGTGAAGCAAGTGCCACACCAAAGTCTGAACTGCTCTTCCCGTCCTCGAAGAAAGACAAGCGTCGAATTAAACATGCCGAGCTCATGAACAAAGTTGCGAAATCGTCTGCCAAAACTCCCAAACGAAGGCGGCCAAACAAGAAACTTGTCGCAACCCTTGATTCCTTAGCAGCTGCTCTTCCGGATGACGATACACGGGACAATAGTGTTGCACATGGGACAGGTGCATCTGCAGGCGACAGGCCTCAAGACCAGGTCAATATCATCAGGCGAAAGAGTATAAAGTCTCGGCCAGGCGCACTGAAAAGGAGGGAGAAACTCGATAAAGGTGAACGAGATCGATTTGCGAAGAACATGGCGCAACTTGCGGCACCAAGGCCAGCAACTGGAGGCGCAGCAAATCCATCTGGTAACGCTGCTGGTGGTGTCGGAGGTACCACTGCTTCCATTCCGTCGACAAGTGAGAGGTGGGCTGCCCTGCGAGGGTTCATCTCCCAGACTTTGGAGACGAAGCCTGAGTTGAAGAGCGCGACTTGAGAGATGCAACCATGTCACAGCCAGGATCTCAAGGCTTCGAGGCAAACAGCCCCATATCCACTTCGGCCGCATCATTGAAGAGATCAACAGTCCAGCGGCCACGATATCTTGGCCACGAAGAGCACTTGCCTGAAGGAGTGTGAAAAGCTTCGATGATACACTTGTGGCAAGAAGTGCCGGCCATGAGCAGCGAGCATTATTGACGAGGGATGGCTCTGAAGCCGTCTGTTAGCTCTGTCTACATTGCCACGCTCTCCAGCCTTCCCACCTGAATCTTCAAGGATAATCAGGGAGCATCATGTGGGCTTCAGGCTTCACTCTTGACCATATGCAACCCTTTTCCCAACATCTTCACCGCCGAAAGAGTCAAATATAACAGCGAAATGATCAATTATCATTATTATACGCGTTCACTCCGACGCGATCGCTTAGAACCTTGCGACACACGGCAATATGAAGCATGGAGTCCAGATCAAGAAAGGCTGACACCTGTCGTGGTGGAGAAGCCGATATCAAGTCCTTATGTCGACACTGCGGCGCTCGGTAAAACTAGGTACCAGACAATGAAGGCGTCAACTGCTATCTTTGCGGTTGCGCCCGTGGGCTTCCCTTTTCAACTCTAAGCTCCATGAGAGTGAACAAGACGTGGTGGTCTTGGAAAAGCCAGGGCTGCCTGGCGGCAAAATCGCTATGATTCGTGAGAGCTCTTTCTGGGGGCAGGAAAATTCACCCGAAAGCTCTTTATAGTATTGCCAAATGGCAAACACTAACGGTCAGTGAATAGAGATGCGCATCTTGAAGGTTCAATTCTAGAGTTTCGATTACATGCTTGACCCTTAGTTCCGATCGCCAGCAGCAAATTTATCATTCCAACGTCCCCTGAAATGTTTCTTTGAACCTACTCGACTGATCAATTCCACGTCCTGCTCTGGCAACGATTTATTCAAAGCCAACAGGTGGTCCTGCATCCGAGCCTTCTCCGTCGAAGTTGTCACCACCACAATCTCTTGCTGTAACGCCCATCGTATCAAAGCAACAGCAGTACTTATTCCCTGTTTCTCTGCTATGGACTCCAACTCACTGTCCAGAGGACCTGGAGTCGCTCTGACTATTGGCGACAAGGGTGAGAAGGCAAACGTCTGTATATCGTGCTTCTTGTGGTACTCCCGCAGCTGAGTACGCTGAAGGTACGGGTTCAATTCGATCTGGTTGCACGCTGGCCTTATCCGTGCAATCTCCAATACTGTCTCGATGTGGGCTTCTGTGAAGTTAGAGACACCGATGGCGCCGACTTTCCCGGAATCGTATATGGCCTCGAGCTCGACCCAAGCCGCTTGGAGATCTGCGTTGGTATTGCCAAAGTAAGGGTGGTGAAGCAAATAGAGGTCGATATACCCAACACCTAGTCGATGCAAGGTGCGATCAAACGCTCCTTTGATGTCCGACGTTGTGAACACTTCATGCTGTTGTCAACTTCTCCACGTGTTGCAGGTGGCTGCGAAAACACTCACCTTTCCCGGTAATGTAGATCTCGGAGACTGGAACGCCGGATTGCTTTATCGCCTCACCGACTTCCCTCTCCGTGTTATATACTGATTCAGGTAAGCAATTAAGCGTGACTGTGATTTTGAACGCTCACGCTCAGCTGTGTCCAGGTGACGATAGCCGGCCAGGAGAGCCTCTTTCACAATGTCGACAAGGCCGGTGTTGAGAGTCTCTGGGTCTTCCTTTCGCCATGTTGAGCCGGTGCCGAACGCCAACTGGAAGCTGCTGTCAATTTGTGACCAGGGTTTGCTGGCCTCATCTTGTTGGACCTACCATGAAAGATCCACCCAGAGGCTTCGGTCTGTGACCAGACATCTCTGTTGGAACGTCCGCGAATGCTCTGGTCAACGAGCGGTTCCGCTGTTAATTATGAGGGTCAATTGCAAAGACTACTCTTCCTGCTCCTAGCACGGCCGAAATATCTGCTCACGGCGAGTCTTCGCTGGTTCATAAGCCATTCGCATATCCATTTCTGATTACTCTTCATGAATCTTTGATCCTTGATCCTACACACCTGATTGGATGTCTGTGGGAGACTGATCTTTGTCATGCCAGCCGAGTTAGAGATCAGCGAAGCAGGGAATACACAGATCTACCACCTTATGCCAGGCAGGAGATGGTGTGCAACATGCATCGACAATAGTACATGCGAATTTCGTCGGACAAAACTCGGCTCTCCCTACCCTACTCTGATATGCATATATTATTATTCAACCCGAGACTCCTTAGTCAACCCCATTCTATTGGCATCAAAGGTTTGATTACTTTGAGCAGGTCCTGGAGAACGCCACTACTCGCAAAAGAATATGTCCTTTGAGTCCCACCTCTTCTGCGCCCGGCCAAAGTATCTCAACCACTAATCAGACCAGTTTGCTGCAACAAGGTTGCTAGAATGCTATCTAGCATGGATCTACAAAACTTCATCCAGGCGATGTCCTCATGCTGGCACAATCGGAACCGCTTCAATACTCATGGCGAGTCTCATACGCAAGGATTATGGGGTACCACTCACAACATTAGCGCTAGGACTTCCTACTAGCGTCTTCACCTGGGAGGTATATGTAGGTATGATGAGGCACCGGTCAAAGATTGTCGACAGTTCTTGCTTGGTCATCTCAGAGCCGTATGGTTCCTCGTTTGTCAGATTACAGGGTGCTGCCAACTGTCAATAGAAGGTAGAGGCCGTGAAAAATGGATATATATACATCTGTCAATTGTCAGCAAGCGTTGTACCGGGTGTCTCTCCACCGCAACAGACACCTCTATAACTTACCAAGCTTTGATACAACTTTTTCTTCCTCTGAGAACGCCGCATCATGTTCAAATCAATCCTCCTAATCGGCGCAACGGGTGTGGGCAGCTTCGGTGACTACGTGGCCCACGAGCTCATCAAGGACCCAACCCATTTCACCCGCATCGCCTTCTTCAACAACACTTCCAGGCCCGCCGACAAAGCCAAGAAGGCCCAGATCCAAAACCTCAAGGCACAAGGCTTTGAAATCGTCGAGGCGGCTGACTATACTTCTCCAAAATCCTACGAGGGCTTCGACTGCGTGCTGATTTTCCTCGGAAACCACGGACTACACCTCCAGCCCACCATCATCGACGCGGCCATTGCAGCTGGCGTCCGCCACTTCTATCCGAGCGAGTACGGCGCCGATGTCACCGAGGGCCAGAATTGGACGCAGCGCTACTACAAGCACAAGGTGCAGACGCGCGAGCACCTTGACGCCAGGGCCCAGGACACCCCGGATCTCGGATGGACATACTACGTACTTGGCCGATTGACGGAATGGGCCGTGATCTCCCACTTTGGCGTCGACAACAAGAACGCGACGGCGAAGATATACGGTACGGCGGAGGGGAGACAGAGCTTGATCAGCGCCGAGGACAGCGCGCGATACCTCGTCGAGACACTAAAAGAGCCGCTGTCTCCCGATGCCAAGGGGAATCGAAGAACATATCGCATCTCGGGCAGCAACCCGACATATGCGGAGATCTTTGAGGTGCTCGAACGGGTCACAGGCAGAAAGTACAACGTCGCATACTTGGACGTCGAGAGCGCACAGCGCGAGGAGGCACAGGCCAGGCATGCAGGTGACGTCGATGCGGAGCTGGCCGCGAGCCATAAATTGATTCAAGGAAGGGAGGGGACACTACTCGCGCAGCCCTGGGACAATGCTCGCTTCCCCTGGATCCATCCCAAAGGTGTGGAAGAGACGCTTCGCGAGGCTTTTGCATCTGAGCGAGCGAAGGAAGTGTATGGTCTGTAGGATAGATGAGCCAACATGGCTTTAGGATTGAAAGGGGGAGGCTTTTGTGCACGCCAGCGACTGACATAGTAAACATCCACGGCACGGACTAGTATATCCTTTTTAGTTTGTACATGGTTTACCCATCAGATACTACCATCTGTCGGCCGATCATTTTACTCCCGCAGCTTGAGCTTCAGCAGATCCTTCTCGACAATCTCATCCTTCTTGGCCAACAGCCCTTCCATGTCCCACGGGACACTGACATATCGCCCGGCTAGCCTGTGAGAGACGGGTCAGCCTCGAAGCCCTCTTTTCGCAAGCCTAGTACAGATAGAGGTACGGGCGTTCAGGGAAGTACATACCACTCTCTTCGTTCTCTCGTGAGCCAAACAAGCGTGTCGGCAGGAAGTTCCGGCTCGGTGACCAGAAGGTGGTGCATGTAGTCCGGCATTGTGGTTCCCACCTCGGTCTTGACCCCGCCGGGGTGGATGGCATATGCCAGCAAGCCCTGAGAAGTGCTTTTGCGTCAGCGTGTTGACCGGATTGGGAAGCCGGGCTGTATAGTGTCAAACAAAAAAGCGTACTTGGTCTCCATACTCCTTCATCAGGAAATCATTCAGCCGGATCTGCGCCGTCTTGGTGCCTTGGTATGCACTCCCGCCGGGCCTGGGGATCGTTGTTAGTTTTTTTTTTTTTTCCCATGTACCTGATGAATGACTTGGTTGGGAAACGTACGAGGTCGTCAATGCTCCGGCACTGGAAATGGTGATGATGGTCTTCCCGTTCCCCTTGAGGAGCAACGGCAATGTCGCCCGAGTGACGAGGTATGTTCCCTTGAGGTTGACCTCCCACGTGGACCACCAGTCCTCCACGTCGGTCTCGTGGATGGGCTTCCACACCTCCATCCTCGAGGCGTTGTTGATGACCACGTCGAGCGTGCCGAACTCCTGTTCCACCGTCTTGATGGCCTTATCTACGGCGGCGACATCGCTCGTGTCGACGCGCAACCTGAGCACCTTGGGCATGTCTTTGCGTCCGGCTTGTTTCGCTGCCTCGACAACTTCCTTCGCCACGGCATCGAGGTCCGAACGAGCCAGCAGCGCGATCGCCGCGGCGCCGGACTTTGCGAATGCGACAACCGTGGCGCGACCGATACCTTTGCTGGCGCCGGTCACTAGGACCTTGAGGTTCGTAGGGTCCACCTTGACAGGGTTGATGAACTCGTAGGTGTCGTCGTGTCGCGGGGTCACGAAGAAATGGCCTCCTGGGACATTTGAAGTGTCGGACATGTTGCACAGTCCGAGTGTGATCAGGGAGATATATATGTATGTGTGTGTGTGTGTGTGTGTGTGTAGGAAGGTAGGTAGGGAAATGGCAAGAATATCAAGAGGAGAAGCAGGGCTTGCTTTTCTGTCGAGTGAAGGAATCCCCTGGTCGATACTCACATACTCACATATACTTATATTTATACTTACATTCATACATTGCATCGGTTTCCTCTCCACCGCCAGAAGTTCCTACCATACGAGTAAACTTGTAAGTCCTTTCCGGAACCGGGTTAATCCCTTGCCGACTGATCAGCCTCGCCCCGCTTTTATTCTGGTGCAAGTGGTGGCGGAGATAACAGCCAGCGTCGTTAAATGCCTTAGCAGTGAAGAAACAAAGTCAAGACATCTGAGCGAGCTTTGTTGTCGGTCTGTCGTTGTACTCGTTGGTGGTCCAGAGATCTTGCTCCACACAGGTGATAGGAAGGAAATTCGAGTTGCATTCCATTTGATTGGGAAATGTGGTACGGGAAGGATTGCCCAGACGTGGGCATAGCTGGGCGCTTTAGTCATTCCAGCATTACCATCATCACGACCCGTCATCAAAGCTGCTGCTGATGCCAGTGACGGCGCCCACAGGTGTCGTTGGTAGGACGAGGACAATACCCAGTCTAGTATGATGGGCTGGTGTAATGAAGAAAGCTCTACATGTTTACCACCACATGCACATGCTCGGATTCATCAGCGCTGGTAGGTTGAGTATCCGAGTTCGCTGCGGAAATATGCGGAGTCCTTCGGCCCTAACAGCCCACCAGTGATAGACGTCTATATCCGAGCTCGGGCTAGCCACATGGCATGCCATGCGTTGCCATGCCACGCAGACGCTTTAAAGCCGATTGGCGATGGGCATAGCGAGATCTACTCGGTACAGTTATTGACTCTGGCAGATCCTTGCCCGTGGTCGTTGACGGCTTTTTATCAAGTTTGCTTTCTCATGTGCCCATCCTCTTCCAGTGTCCGTCCAAAGCTGGGACAAGCTTTCTTACGTCTTTCTCTCCCCGCAGGCCACCCGTCCTTGCTTACTGAGGGGGGCACCTACTCGTCAGGCACCCAGGGACTCCAGCGTGGTCAGCATCGGCTTACTTGGGTTAGGGTAGGATCTCCCCCCTCCCTACCCTAGTGTAGGGTACGGATACCGAGTACCTACGATTTGATTAGTGTCTTTATAGCGAGAGTGTCAAGTGTATTTCAGTATTATTATTAGGATATTACAAAGTAGTTGGCCGCCTCGGCTTTACATAAGCTTGCACCTCCACCACGGCCCACGGCTCATCGCGGAACCTGATTCCTGCTTTGAAACCCCGGCAAAGCCATGCGGTAAGCGACCGCTGAAGAAGAGAGATGGTTTTGAATCTCAAAAGCTCATCTGATCGCGTAGAGAGAGAGTGATGCCGGACTAGCGGCTATGTAAAATATGTACTGTTTCTTTTTCTTTTCCTATGTACACTCCGTCTCCTTACTCAACTTTGGCCAACCTCTTCCTATTTCTTCACCGTCACCGCATAGACGGCCCCTCCAAGGGTTACGTTCTGCGCCAGCCACTGGTCGATGCCACCGGTCGTTCCCACATACAGAACTTTTCCGACTTGGCTTTTGCTGATCCACCTGGCTGTGGTCGGTCCTGGCAGGCCGGTTGCGAAAAGGGTGTGGACGCCGGTCCTCAAATCGATCTTGCGGAGCTGGTCAGGCGAGTTGGTGATGTAGGCGAACCGTTGTTGGTCGTCAATCTCAAAGTCGTCACAGTCAAGTCCTGTGCTGATCACCGTCACTGGGCCGACCTTGCGTCCCGTCGAAGGGTCGATGGCCACGCGACCAAAGGTCCCGATGCTGGGGTTGTTGTAGTACAAGGTGCTGCCGACCACGCGAATCCCATTGACGCCGCCCCCTGCCCCATTGGGATCGGTCATTTTGGGGTCGGTGAAAAGTAGTTGAGCACCGCCGTGGACAACGTCAACTCCCCAGATGCCACCCAGAGCTTGATCGACCATAAGCACAATTCTGTTGTTCAGTGCTGCCACGCCATTCAGGAGACTCGCGCTGTTAGGGCCGCTGGCGAGCTTTGTAATGCACGGAGGGCCGGGGTTTCGCAGGTCCACCAGCCATGTGATTCCCGTTCCAGGCGTACACTATAACGATCCAATTCATTAGCCTCATTCTCGTGTGAAATTTGGAGATACACAATGTGGCACGCGTGGTTGATTCGCTGCTTGTGGTAATATCAGTGGCGTAGAGAGAAAAATTTTTTTCTTTACCTCTAAGATGGTCATGTCGCAGAACATCGTGTTGGCCAGGAACAGGTCGGGCTGAATATCGGTAATGCTCATAATGGAACTGCCTACGGCGCTCCAGTCATGAAGCACTTGTTGTTGTCCGGTCGCAGGGTTCAGCTGCTTGAGGACAGCGGATGTGGCGGTCGCGGGGATAATCCAGCCGTTTGGACGAACGGCCAAGTTTTCGATCCATACTGCATCTTGGTACTGGTAGACAAGTCGGACCGAAGGGGCAGAGGCGACGTCAGGGGCGACGTCGGCTTGGGGTGCGCAGGAAACTGAGACCGCCAGATAGAGCACCAGGCTCCAGAAAAGAGCCGCCATCACTGGACAAATTCAATTTGTTGTCACAGAAGTTCGGTAGGGACAGGCAACGAGTTGGGCTCATCTGCAGACTTTAAACTTTGACGAAAGCTTCCTCCAACCAAGGGGCGGCGAGGTTGGGATTTATTGGGATTACAAAGGACTGCGGGGTCCCCCGGAATATTCCCGTGCCACGTGTTTCTCGTCCCCTAGCGACACGCCGGGTGTGGCAGAAGCCATGGGAAATAGTGGGAAATAGTGAGAAATAGTTAGATATCTAACGTGTTAGGAAGGTGCGTACGATAATAGGGTGGATCCGGTAGTGAGAGTGTCAAGTTAATAAGGTTCTGGTTAAGCGCAGGGTAGCTTTACTACCTTACGCGGCATGCTTAATCTCCGGACTAAGACCGGGATATCGGAGACCACAAATTTACTTGCTTGGGGAGTTATTCGCCGCTGCTTGGGGGTAGCCTGGAACTAACTAGATTTGATCGATTATTCATTGAAACGGTGGAGAATCCACGTGGTCCTGCATGCATCACGTGCAGAAAGCTTTTCGGCCAACCTGCCACAACTGAAAGAGGCAGAACTTATCACGTGGATCTCACGTGCACTATCGTCACCCCCACAGAGCACTTAGTCAGCACTCCCCTTCTTGCCCCATTTCTACTCAATCCGAAAACGGTTATGGGTTTTGAGGAGGGGAAGATGGTCCTGTAAATATCGTGGTCATTGGGAAATAGGGGACGAACAGGACAATCCAAATGCGTGATAATGCTGACACCCTTTTTCATACCGTTTTGGGTACATTGTACGAGTAGAATGGCCTGATGGTCGATCTCCGAGCCGTACTCTTGACTCCAAACGTCAATGATGACAAGGTCTGGGCTTGACGCATTGATGCCCCTTGAACCTGGGTCTTGAACCCCCAGCTCGTCAAGACTGACTCTTGACTCCAACGAAATCATTACGCGTACTATTGGTAGGTATATCCCAAGAGGTATTACCATCCTGGATAACCTGAATCGGTTAGTCTCACTATCACGCTACTTAGCGAGGTACTTGTGGTTCGAGTATTATCTTCATTACATACTACGCTTCCCGATACAGAAATGTAGGATAAGTGTAACTCGTCTGAGCTGACTTGCATCCTGCAGGGATATTACCGCAGTCTGATGAATCCAGGTCTGGCAAACGACCGCTGACGGCCATCCCCACATGCTGCCTCTGGATCTCACGAATGAAGTGGCAAAGCCATGTGCAAAACCAGCATTGAGTAACTTGACAGAGGTTTGACTTTGGTAAGATGATCCAATCACCAAAGCAGGTGAAGGTTGCATAGCTCGTGAGAAACAAGTCCATGGCCCGCCGTTGATCAGGCAGGAAAAAGGGATGCATCCATCATGTCCATGCCGCCACCACCACATATGGTGTTCTGGTTATAAAAGATGGCATCACCTCTTGACGTGAGCGCTCCTGAGTCTGTAGGTGGCACTGAAGAGCCCTCCTCTTGCTATTCAAGTGAGGGGAACACTTTCAAGAGCCACCTTTGACAATGCTCTGGTCTCTGGCTCTCGCTATTCTTGCAGTAGGGTTGTACCTCTCGCTCGGGCTCAAGGGTCAATGGCCCGATGGACCTCGAGGCATCCCGCTCATAGGAGTCTTGCCGGACAAGAAATTGACTCTCAACCAACAACTCACCAAGCTCGTCCCTCGTTATGGGGACTTCTTCTCCTTCAACATGGGCCGCTCCAAGGTGCTGGTCCTCAGCAGCCCGACCGCTATCGAGGACCTGATCGTCAAGCGAGGACAGAAATATTCGTCGCGACCGTCTCCGTCCCCCCAGGCAAAGATCATTGCTTCGGCAAGGATGGTGCAATTAGAATACGGTGACGAGTTCAGAGTGGGTTTGACGTCTTCGCCCTGTATACTAACCACGAATTGACGTATGCCTATACTAATGCATCAACTCCCAGAAACATCGAAAACTAATCCATCGCCTACTGGGGATGCAGAACGCAAAGATCTTCCAGCCCTACCAGGAATACGAGAGTCGACAGACGCTGAAGAACATCTTGGAACATGCCGACGCTTTCTACACAGAGGTCGGGCGATATTCGGCCAGCGTCACTTTTAGTCTCCTGTGAGTTGAGGCCGCAGTACCTCCGAGGATTGCATCAACAGACAGACACTCACGAATGGCAGGCTTGGAGCCCGTTTCACCAGGAGCGACACCCGGATCCCAGAAACTATCCGCTACGTCGCCCTCGACATGTTTCAGAGTATGAATCTTGTAGCTTAGCGAGTCATTTGAAGAAAAAAAAAAATACACACACTGACTTGGTGGGATCTCAGAAATCCGTCCGGGGTACTGGTTGGCCGACTGGATCCCGGTGCTGAATTACCTTCCCGACAGCCTCGCGCCGTGGCGGGCAAAAGCACGCAGGACCTTTGACAACCTCATTGCATTCTGGGGCATCTTCTACGACTCGATCGTGGAGCGGATGAAGAAGGGCGACGCGCCCGACTGTTTCCTCACTCGGTTCCTGGAGAGCCCCGAGATTGACAGTTTCTCCGAGGTCGACAAGCGCACGATCCTCTCGGAGCTGCTGGGCGCGGGCTCCGAAACCACGGCGACTACGCTGCAATGGTTCTTCAAGGCCGCGGTGCTATATCCCGACTTTGTCAAGACGGCCCAGGAGGAGCTGGACCGCGTGGTCGGGCATGACCGACTGCCGCAGTGGGAGGACCGCAGCGAACTCCCCTACATCAGCGCCGTCGTGGAAGAAATCCACCGGTGGGCCTCTGTGGCGCCTCTGGCCTTCTACCGCGCCACCAGCGAGCCCGACAACTATCGAGGCAAGACGATCCCGGCGAAAACGACCGTCATCTACAACGTGTATGCCATCCACCACAGCAGCGAGTACTACCGCGACCACGACATGTTTCTACCCGAGCGATTCTTGCCGGACAGTGACCCCCGATACCTCCCTCGATGTGCACACGCTCCCATGCATTATGCGTTCGGCGTAGGGAGGAGAGAATGTCCCGGAAGACATGTCGCCGACGCGTCTCTGTTCATCGTCATCAGTCGGCTCTTATGGGCGTTTGACATCAACCAGGGTAACCACCCGCGTCCCAGCGACGAAGTCGGTAAGTCACATCTCTTCCCAGATGCAACTGTTATGTGAAACACCGCAAGCTTGGCCAGCGCTGACTGTTGTCCTGTCTTGTCTAGCCGGGAGTAACCCGCTCTTCAGACCCGTCGCGTTTACGTGCGACATTACTCCGAGGGATGAGAAGATTGCAGACAAGATCCGTGCCGAAGCTGCAGTTCAGGACCCTGCGCTACGGGTCGAGGATGCCGCACAGTACGAGGAGAGGGTGATGAAGTTTGTGAGAGAGCAAAAGCTTGGGGCGTGATGCCCTCAATCAGCATTGTTAATGAGGGCCTAGGCGGGGGAGCAATATATCGGGCAGAGGAGACACTATCTAGATATTCATTTGAATGAACGAGACATCTCAACAGAGTGGCCGACCAGATCATGAACACAGTTCAGAGGCTTATTCGTGGTCGAACGGCCAGCCGAAGGATCTGGCTCAGCGGCCCCCGTCCAACGGCGAATGTTTCACGTTCGTCTCATCTTGGCCGGCCTCGTCCATTGCAGTAATTTCTCGTATCCAACACCACGCAATGCAGCGCCACACCAAAACGAACACTTTCTACTCAGTGAAAATGAAGCCGCGTTTCTCCTTCAGTATTGGAAGAAGGCAGGTACGTCTGTTCAAGCCTGGCCAAGGGCATTGGCGAGGCTAAGTTTTTGGTCTTGATCCTTGGCTGCAATGTGGCGACCCGGCCATTTACCTACAAGTACGACTGCATCGTTCCTCGTACTCGGTACAGCACCCTGACACACTCCTGTCGTAGGCCAAGGTTACGGCCCCCTGCGGGAAAGACCAGTCTGTCCTAGCAAAGAGATCAAGCTCATCTCCCGCTTGGAATACGTAACGACATGTGGTGATTTCTTGTATTGACTCTACTTTGTATTTTGCACACGGTAGGAAAAGTGCTGACCCGCGACAACTTCTCGGCCGGAGATTGGAGGATGCTATGATCTCGCCCTAGCTTAGGTGCATGTTGGTCTAGGGCCGAACAAGAGAGCCCATTGATCACATGCAGGTCAAGCCGCCGGCACTGAGGTGTTCCCGAGTTCCCGATTTCCGGTGCATGAGAAAACCCCATGGGTATGTCCATGCAAACTGCCCGGCCCCAAGGTCGGCCGGAGTCTGCTTGCTCTGAGAGGACAGATAATATCGGAATCAACGTAGGGTCCGGGACCGCGTTCGTGGACCGACGAGCTTTTCCTCCTCCACGTCCGAGCCAAGCCGGCAGCAGCGTGGTCGGCACAAAACTTGTCCCCCTAGCAGCCGAGAGAGGAGACAATTGCCACCTGTTGTATCGGAGGGGAGAAACGAGGGTCAATCCATTCGGGAGAAAGTGATCATGTGAAGTGTGGGACGAAAGTGGTGATATGGACAACGGCGAACCCTGAGAGTCATTCCAGAGAGGTATATCGCAAAGCCACTTACTTGTTCGAGGCACATCGCTCCTGAATCTATTGGCATTCTTGCGCTGACTGACCTCGTCAATGCCTCGTCTGTTTGGCTCTCCGGATACAATCCACGACAGCCCTCACACGTTCGAACGTGACAGATGCAATCTCCCTTTCTCTTCCTTCCACATTCGGCCTGATCAGATTGCCCCCAGTTGCCTGTTGCGTTGCCGGGTTCTGAAAGGAGTACCACGGAAAAAATGCCAACGGGGGAATGGTCACCGGGCACGACTGACGACCTGGTGAATACAGGATCATGAAAAGACCACCTTCCCCCTTCTTACAAGGCACTAGGATGCCCTTGGAGTCGAATGAGTCTGCCGGCCGCTGTTCGCCCTTGACGTACCACTCTCTCCTGGCCGTGTCCCCCCGAGCTTTCGTCTGCCTCTGTTCGCCATCCACCAGATTCAAACAAACGGCAACGACGGTTCATCTCGATTGTATCGGTAATGGAAGAGAATTGACGCGTACTAAAGTATACATGGTGTGTCAGGCTGTGTCTCTCTAGCGGTGGTGATTTGTCGGTGGTGCTGACGTCGATCGTCTCATATTCGCTGGTTGAGGAAACGCCAGGTGATGGAAATCTGGTCAGCCGGGGATTCTGTTGGACTTCACGCCGTCTAAGATCAAGAGGCGTTTGGTAAAACCACACACATATAGATAACGCTCAAGTCAAGAGTTCTCGATAGCAGAACGGAGTTGCTTGAGACGATGGTTCCGCAGGTAGCCACTATGGTTTCTTTGCTCGGTTTCAATCATCCCACGCGAAACCAAGTAATTGCTAGCTTCTCTTAACCTCGTGTCTGAGATTAGGGTAACGAATCGGCTTATTCAATGATCTCCGCTAATTTTTGGAGACAAGAACTTCTCCGTACTGGCTCCGAACCATGATTGACTGATTTTCTTCTGCGTGATAGCAAACTCTTTTTAACCGATGATTCAACCCTGGTCTTGTTCTCTGGTCTCTTGGGCTGGTATGACGACCGCCTACGCTTCGGACCCGAGGGACGAACAGACTTGGGCGCCGAAGCCGGTGTCTCAGCGTTGTCCGTACACTCTTGACTTGTTTGGGTGTTCTCACTTGGAGCCACAAGCGGGGTTTTGGAGGCATTCATTTGATCGATGAGATAGGGAATGACTTCATGGACCATTCCATCGCTAGAGTTGGATGACCTGCTGCGTAGAAACGAGAGGAAGGTGCAATGTATGTTGATAGGTAGCTCTGTCATGTAATACTTGTAAGTTGCCGTCCATGCGCTCTTCTTTGCAGCTTCGGCTTCCTCTTGAAGCTCTTTTGCAAATCTCTGAGTTGCTTCGTTCGGGGATAGATTTTCTCCTAGGCCTATCAGAAGCCGCCTGAAGCGAATCAAGACTTGAATATCTTCTTCGATCGGTATGGTCAGTCGGTTGTGCTTGGTCATGAAGGCGTCGATGTCGATGCCGCGGGAACGGAGCCATTTTTCGTGATAGTCGATGTCTTCGTCCAGCTGAGATTCCGCACCAAAAGGCTCCTGAGGGGCATGAGACGCCTGTTCTCCATGATAGCGCAGGTTTGGGGGGCTGTTGATGTGATGTAGCAAGTCCGAATCCCCAGGCGTTGGGTTACTGATGCCAAGATTGTGGGGTAGCACAACTTAGTCAACTACGGGATGATAAGAGTTCAACGCTCCCGGCACCAGCGGCAGCCGACATTAGTCCCGGCGCTTACCGACCTGTTTATAGTACATGGCTTTAGATTGAGCAGCTGTGGACGTATTAAACAACGACTTGTCGCACCACCCAACTCGACGTAAACTTCCTCTTGACCACCATCTCTGATTGAAAATTTAGGAGTGAGAAAGCGTCGCCTCGACTCGAAATGTCCGTCCGCGCAATCTTGATTCCCAAGTCTGACGCTACATCTTACTCGACAAGGCTAACATACAATAAGGGAAGAAGAACCGTCTCGCCTATCGTCACCCGAGTCTTTGGATGCTGATGATTCGTGTTGAACATATCACTGAGAAGCCGAAAACCCAATTATCAAAATCAACAACGTCACCCAGTGCAGTGATACTGCAGCAAACAGCAGATACGCGCCGCTTTACATTTGGAGCAGGCCTAGAAAACTTCTCCATGCTGCAGTCGAATCCAGAATGAACAGATGATACCCGCTACATTAATCTTACACACTGTCAGTTCTCTTGTGAGCCAGATACATCCGGAGTTTGGCTTAAAATTTCGTCGACATCTATCCACCATGGAAACGACGAGATCAAGGTTACAACAGATTCGAGGTTGAGTCTGGCGCGAGTGCACCAATCCAGTCCGGAGTTTGGGATGTGACCCTAGGACCTGGATTGCTCTTTACTATTTTGGTAGCATAAGTGAAGGACAAACTCCCAGCCCATCCTCGTCTCCTCCACCGAATGCTAGACCACTCGTGGCGCGGCTTCTACAGATGAAGCACTAGGATGTATCAATGATGATACTGCTCTTCATGCTACGTACACTCATAGTCCAATACCCCTAATTCCAACATGGGGGCGGAGGGACCGGTGGTACTGGCACATGCTATTTCCATTATAACTTCTAGGTCTAGACACTGCTAGAGGAGACTAAGTGGGTGCGGGCCCTGCCCGTTTCATTACGAGAAATGAACCTCTGACACTTGTTCAATTTGCTCTGCCAGCATTGGAGGCCAAAGATTGGCCAGTCGCAGGAGTTCAATCATAAATCGAAACAACGAGAGAGCTTGCCCTTGACGCCATCCCTGAGTTGCCACACACTTGGATACTTACTTCGAAGCTCTGCCGCTGTCAGCATTTGCAACCTTTCCAAGCAACTCCAAATGTCACGGTCCGCTTCTTCTACTTCATTCATCTCTGAGGCTACCATTGCCCCCTCGTATTATCGGCGGTTCGTTCTCCGTCTCCCGTGCTGTTCCACCATATCCTTGGCGGCAGCGGCTACCAGTTACGGCTAAGAAGCAATGCTACCCCGTATTCGTATGCCTCTACCGAGTTCGTATCCTGGATGGAGATCCACTGACTGTCTCCACTCACTGCCCAACCGCGCAGTAAATCACCCGGAGGTCACCCGGGGTGTCTATATACGGGACCCAACATCGACGTCGTGGTTGCTTGGCAGAGGGTTTCACGATGCTCTCAGCCACAACGACAGCGTTGCCTATGGCTTTCATTCTCCCAGACCCAACTGTGACTGAATGAGAGTCTGGCGATCTGCGAATCTTCAGCACAATCGTCACAAGTATTGTCTGTTTCCAAGGCTTTGGTTTGGAAATACAATATCTCTCGCTCGAACTCCGTCGCATGTTTGATGATTTCAAGGCTGCGCAACGATATCATTCTGCTAAAATTCGGGCAGTTGCTGCCTCGCATATATGTGTCTAGGGATGATTCGCCTGAATACGACAATGTCACTGCCGGGGACCTCCCGGGAGGACATCTCAGGACATACGCAACTTTCAGGCTTTGACCACTTAATATAGCATCACAGTCGAGGCAGCACCCATATGCAAGACACTTTGCTCCCTGATTGGATTCCCGGCATTTGCGAAAGTTGGTTCTGTGGCTGCCGCGCAAAGGTCTGGCGGGCGCGCAACTCGTCTCCTCATTTCCAGGTCTCTTTCTGGCCTTGCAACAAAACGATGAAGTATAAATTGAACGGACCTGGCTGATGGAATCTCTTCCATCTTCCACAACCAAGCTTCAACGTGCATCAAGATGAAGGTCTCAACTGTCTGGAAAGCTTTGCTTCTCTCCTTGTCTGCGGGCAGCACGGTGGCTGTCGGCGATGTTGGTGGTCAGC